GTGGCAGGGACCCCCGAGTCCCGCGCAGGGCTGAGTAGGGACCCTGCGCTGTCGCCCCGGGCCTCCTGACATCCCTGCAGCCGCCCCCAGGGCCCCTTTCCCCAGGCACCTCATCCTTTCAGTAGCTGCTGCGGATCCCAAGCTCCGTGTCCCCCCAGGCGGGGTAGCAGGTGGCTGCTGCGCGCTTCCCCTCTGCAATACCACTCAGAGCCCACCCTTTCCAGGGGAGAGCTTGACACTCCTGCTGGCAGGCAGCAAACAGGGGCCTTTCCCGGAGAGTCTGGCTACATGTAACTCTAGTCTGTGACTCCAGCTAGCGGGTTCTCCTTCCCCACCGCGATTGTATATGAGAGATCACTTTCCTCCTTGACCTGCTGAATAGCACTGCCCTGTTAGACCAGGTATTGGTGTAACTGCTTCATTCAGGGGTGTGAAAACTGCCCACCCCTATGAGAGAACGCTATACTAACTCAGTCCAGTGTAGAGGAGCTCTCCTTTGGAGACAGCGCCCTGTCCCTGTAATTACCGCTTCTCTGGAGATGAATTAACTACTCTCCACAGTTTCCACTTTTGATGAGAGAGTATTGTAAATGTAGACTTGTCCGCACTCTTTAGTTTGCTATTATATTGAAGTACAAAGCATTTAATAATAGTACCTAAAGCTTTAATTAAAAAAAATTGTCCAGTAGCCAAATCTGAGACTAACTAGCCTATTTTTCAGCTTCATTCTTCTATCACCAATAAATTGAATGTACTTAAAGAGAACCGTAGGGATGCTAGGTGTAGTCATGTAAACAATTAACCTCATGATTATGTACATTCCTCCCCCCTACTTGCTGTCTCTCTATCAGAGGCAGCAAGGAGGGGGGAGCTGCTGCCTGTGGGAAGGCAGCTTTTAAGCTGGCTCCCCACCAGCACCAGAGCCTGTGGAACTGCTTGACTACCCCACGCCCATGCTGCTGCCTGTGATATAGGATGCTGGAACAGTCTGTTCACAGAGGGCAGCAGCACAGGGTGGCACAGGAGAGCCATTCTGTGCAGGGAGACAGTTTTTAAACCGGCTTCCCTTGCAGACCAGCTCTCACCTGCCAGCCTGCGCTGCAGATGATACAGAGGCAGCAGCAAAGTGTGGCAGGGGGCTCTCCAGGAATGCACTGGCTGCTGGCCCCACTCCTAGGGACTATCAAATAATCGTGTAACTGTTAAGATGTTATGCAGTTATACTACAGGAGGCCCCCGACTTGCAATATATTTGGTTCCGTTGTAAATGTGGGCTGAGGATGTAAGTCGGGGGTTTCCAACCCCTTTCACACTTACAAAAATGGTTGGAACTTGGGCATTCTCAAGTCGGGGGCCTCCTGTATTATTAAATTAAATGATATCTAACATCCCTATTTTATTGAATGATTAGGTTTACATTTCTGCTGCTGACCAAATGCAACTCAGAAGCCAGCATTTGGGTTTGCTCTGTAGGCTTTTTGCCTAAACCTGGTAATTGGTAGGGAGTTGTAAGGTACAGAGTGCAGGCCCACTCCTTCAGTAAATTTTCGACCCAGAGTACAGAGAGTTTAAGAGCCTGTCTGATCCTTTTTAGCATGACTTTTGTTAAACGGTTTTTCTTTTAAAGTATGGTTACAGCTACTTTTCTGTGGCGTGATCTAGAAAGCTTCTTTATCTGATTTATAATCTAATTTTTTAGTTTATAGTTTTATAGAAAATGAAGGGCTTACTTTTTTATATGGAAAATGCCCCCAAATGCATCTTTGGGTATACATCCAGAACTTGGAAATAACCCATAAAACTTGCCTTTTCCCAAGAAATGAAAAGAAAGGTTTTCAAAACACAGGCCGAAAGTGTAGTCTCAGAGTACTCCCAGAAGCAGACACCTTTAGGAAGAAAAATGTTTGTGGGACCTAGTCTGATCCCGTGAAGGGAATAGAACTCTAGAGTGGGTTGAATTTTTTTTTTGTCAAAACACTGTTCCAATAGAAAATTGCTTTTGACTTTTCAGTTAAATTAAAAATTCATGGAAAAATCTGGCTTTAAAACAATAGAAAATTGCTTTTGACTTTTCAGTTAAATGAAAAATTCATGGAAAAAATCTGACTTTAAAATTTTAAAGTTTTTATAATAGATAATGATAACTATTTCTATATTGATGAAAACAAAATGTATACAACCTTTTTAGGGGGAGAAGTAGAGGATGGGGAAGTTAGGGGAATCATCTCCTTATCACAGGGTTGGGCAAAAGGGCCTCTGAGGGCCGGACCTGGCCCACCAAGCGGGTTGATCCCGCCTATGGAGGCCCTGCCACTCCCCTGCTCCCCCAGGTCAATCAGGGCCTGGGGGCAGGGAGAAGCACATGAAGCTTCCTCTACCCTGCCCCGACCTGCAAGAAGCACGTGGTGCTTGGAAGCACCACGGAATCCTAGCAGGGCAGGAGGAGACTTTGCATGCTTCCCTGCTCCCAAGCCCCGATTGGTGCAGTGGCAGAAGGGGGAGCGCATGAAGTCTCCTCCCACCGCCAGGGGCACGGGCAGCTAGGGGGAACTGGGCAGGTGGGGCAAAGACTTCACTTGCTTCCCCACCGCCAGACCAATCATGGTGTGTGGGTGGGGAAGTAGAGAAGTGTCCCAGCCCCGTCCCTTCTGCCTAAGGCCCCGCCCCTTCCGGTGCAGCCCAGGGCCACTTCAAACATTTCTGAAGTGGCCCCTGGTAAAAAAAATGATTGCCCATCCCTGTCTTATCAGCTCTAGTGAACTGCTTCTCAGGTTTGGAACCTAACACTTTATGACCTTGTATTTTATGTATGCATCCTTTTGTTCCATCTCATGGTAAAGGACTTCATGGGTCTGGTCAGCTTAGAGAACAAGATTTTACTTTAAGTTCATTATTGGGGGAAGTGTTTTTCTTTCAGTATTTTTCCTGTTAATTTAATAACACTTTTTACATAAAACACTTTGTATTGCCACAATATATTTTGTAGGAACATTTGTATGCCATTTAGTAAAATATAACAAATAAAACATAGTGGATCTATATCAAGACACCTATTTATTACTGAAAAATTACTATTGAAACATTTTAATGGTGGAGACTGAAGTTACAGGGTGAGAAATAGTAAGATGTTGTGATTTTCAGCCTAAAGTAGTATATGATTTGTGTATATCTCTAAAGTGTTTACCAACAGGTCAATCGTGATCGACTGGTCGATCGAAAGGCCTTGACCAGTCGATCACGAAGCAACCGGGCCCCCTCCCCATTTTCCACCCACCCCCGAGAAGCCCCAGTACTTACCTACAGCGAAAATGGAAGTAGTGCCGGCTTCCCGTGGGTGGATGGAAGTCCCACAGCTTAGCGCCACTTCTGGGAGTTCTGGAAGTGCCCTGGCTGCTTTGCCAAGCGTGCAGCGTGGGAGGGGGCCCTGGCTCCGGAAGAGGAGCACAGAGATTTCCCTGCACCGGCGCAGGAGGCATGAGTTGTCCCCGGGGCAGGCGTGCGCGGGGTTTCCCTGCACAGCGGGGAGAGGGGTGTGTGTGTTTTGGCCCCGGGGCAGGCGTGGCACAGAGATTTCCCTGCACCGGCGCAGGAGGCATGAGTTGTCCCCGGGGCAGGCGTGCGCGGGGTTTCCCTGCACCGCGGGGAGACGGGTGTGTGTGTTTTGGCCCCGGGGCAGGCGTGCGTAGGGTTTACCTGCGCTGCTGGTGCGAGTTTCAGCCCGAGGCAGGCGCGCGCGGGGGGGAAGGGGTGTATTTCGGCCCCAGGGCGGGCGCAGACGGGGTTTTCCTGCACAGGGGGGCGGGTGTTGGCCCCAGGGCAGGTACACGTGGGGGTTTCAGCCCCGGGGCAGGTGCGATTGGGTGGGTTGCCCCCAAGAGGTCACCTGAGTGGGCTTCCATGCTCGGTGGGAGGAGGGGTGTCATGCCTGGCAGAGGCGCGCAACGGGGCTTCCTTCTTTCAC